GAGTGAGTGAGTGAGTGAGTGAGTGAGTGAGTGAGTGAGTGAGTGAGTGAGTGAGTGAGTGAGTGAGTGAGTGAGTGAGTGAGTGAGTGAGTGAGTGAGTGAGTGAGTGAGTGAGTGAGGTGAGTTGTAAGGTGCGTGAGGTCAGTGAGGTGAGTGAGCTGGGTGAGGTGAGTGAGGTGAGTGAGGTGAGTGAGGTGAGAAAGGTGAGTAAGTCGAGTTGAGTTGAGTTGAGTTGAGTTGAGCTGAGCTGAGCTGAGCTGAGCTGAGCTGAGCTGAGCTGAGCTGAGCTGAGCTGAGCTGAGCTGAGCTGAGCTGAGCTGAGCTGAGCTGAGCTGAGCTGAGCTGAGCTGAGCTGAGCTGAGCTGAGTGAGTGAGTGAGTGAGTGAGTGAGTGAGGAGTGAGTGAGTGAGTGACACTGGTGTATGGCTTGAGCCAGTGTATTTCCCGGCTGTTTTTCCTGTACATCGATGCGCATGCTGCCACCACAGCTTTCACACCGCCCTACCTTGAACAATGCAGGAATCACGCAAGCCGTCTAGAAAAGAGAAGGGGTTTCGTTTACCCGACTCCTACAAAGCAGCGGCAGTATGTAGAACGTAAGAGCGGGGGGCATCCCTCAGGTTGGCCTTCTTCTCGCGGCGTTGCCAAACACCAACAGGGGCCACGGGGCCGTTGTTCTGCTTCAACCCCTTCACACGCCGGCCAGGCGCAAAGGGCCCCATGTTGTTTGTAGATTGTGTTCGGAGCTGCCTTGCCACCTTGAAAGAGTAAGTGATCTACTTGAAGTTGCACACAAGGTCAGCAACTCTTCGGGCGTAAGTCTTTGGGAGCAATCTCACTGAGCAAACCCTCTGCGACAGTAATTTCAGCCAGCGCTCTACGACATCTCCTCTCCCGGCAATGTCTCTTCAACCTCTGCGACTCTGCGAGCCATGTCTTCGTAACATCTTTCTGCGACATCTCGCAATCTCTCTGTGACATTCCTGCGGGCCCTCTCTCTGCCTCTCTCTCTCTCTCTCTCTCGCTCTCTCTCTCTCTCTCTCGCTGCGCAATCTCTCTGCAATGCCCAGATAAGATCTCGAGGCTTCTCTCTCTCTCTGCCTCTGGTCTGCGCAATCTCTCACGCGACTTTACAGCCTCACGCGACTTTACAGGAAACACCCTCACAAGGGATAGTCAAGGCTGGCAACAGACAAGAACGCGCTCAAACCTTCAGACGACTGGCTGCAGCACACTTCACAGTGACCCGGCTGGCTGCCAAGGGTCTCTTCCTGCATTTCCCGCAACGCCTCCCTGTTGATATCGACTTGGAGCAGCCACTGAGTCACATCTTTGTAAGAGAGCGGTGTGCTGAGCAGGTCTTGCTTCACCTGAGAACGCCAACGCCTCGAGTGACTTACAAGCCAAGCGAGACTAAAAGTATATGCTAACCTGCACCCAGCAGAGCGACCAAGCACGAGCAAAGCTTCCAGCCAAGCACGCAGCTGTTTCGGCACGACTGTGCGCACGTTTCAAGAGAGTTCAACCAGGCGCAACACTAGGAGGGCTCTATCTTGGCAAACGCCACAAGGCAAAATCTGTGTCGAGGAGCCTGCAGCACGCTTTCTGCTCCAAGGCGCTATCACGCCTCGGTTTTCCCGCGCATTCGCCTGCAACTCCTCTGTCCGCTTAGCTATCTCCTCCCACTCCCGCTCTATGTCCGAATCGCCGGGCTCCTCCTGAGCACTGGAAGCCAGGGTGAGACTGCTTCATTGTGTTCAACGTGTGACAAAAACATGTGAGACTCAGTTCTTGGGTCGGGACACACTCCAGGCAAAGCCTTGCTAGAGTTGTTGTTTCTGGCCCACGCGCGCTGAAACAACCTCAAGTTAGACTCCCGCCGCCACCACAACGAGCGCAGCAACAACAACACAACCACAACCACAACAACAACAACAACAACAACAACAACAACAACAACAACAACAACAACAACAACAACAACAACCACAACAACAACAAAAACCACGACGACGACGACGACGACAACCACCACCACAACAACCACAACCACAACCACAACAGCAACAAACAATCAACAAACAACAAACAACAAACAACAAACAGCAACCAACAAACAACAAACAACAAAAAACAAACAACCAACAACCAACAACCAACAACCAACAACCAACAACCAACAACAAACAACAAACAACAAACAACAAACAACAAACAACAAACAACAAACAACCAACCAACAACAACCAACAACAACCAACCCCAACCAACCAACCAACCAACCAACCAACCAACCAACCAACCAACCAACCAACCAACCAACCAACAACAACAATAACAACAACCACAACAAACACAACCAACACCACAGCAACAACAACCACAACAAACACAACAAACACCACAACAACAACAACAACAACCACAACAAACACAACAACCAACAACCAACAACCACCACCACAACAACAACAACAATCACAACAACAACAATCACAACAACAACAACCACCACGACTACAACAACAAACACAACAAACACCACAACAACCAACAACCAACAACCACAACAACCAACAACCAACAACCAACAACCACAACAACAACAACCAGAACAAACACAGCAAACACCACCAACACCACCACCACAACAACAACAACAATCACCACAACAACAAACAACAAACACAACAAGCACCACCACCACAACCACAACAACAACAACAACAACAAACAACAACAACAACCACAGCAAACACAACAAACACCACAGCAACAACAACCACAACAAACACACCAAACACCACAACAACAACAACCACAAACAAAACACAACAAACACCACAACAACAACAACCAACAAGCAACAACCAGCAACAACAACAACGACCACAACAAACACCACAACAAAAACAACAACAACGACGATGACGACGACAAACAACAAGCACCACCAAAAACAACACGGTCACGGCGCGGAAGCCAAAACTGACCGCGCTGCCTTTTCTGGGTGTGGGCGAGGATGAGCGTCACAAGTGTGGCCAAAGTAACAGGACGATGAGCACGGCGCTGACGCACACAGCGCGACAACATGCTCGACGCGCGCGGGGCTCTAACGGCACGCCATTTGCTTCGCACGTGTGCAACCGATGGACGCACGTTCTCATCCCCACCCCACCCCCGCCTCACCCCACCCCGCCGCCCCTCGCCATGTAGCTCTCTGACAATGTGTGCAACTGACTGGGGTGCGACACACGCTGCGTTTCAGCAGTTGACCCATTCACACACTGTGACATTTTGGCTCAAGGCCCATTCTTTAATCTGATTGCTGCGACTAGTAAAAGACGACCTTGCCGGCCAGGTACACTTCCAGGCCAACTCCGTCCAATCTTGGCATCTTGGACACTCCTCGGTATAGATCACTCTCAACTACCACAAGGTACCGGATCCTACAGGATAAGGCACCCCGGACTCAATTGCATTCAAGACGTCATCCGGGCCTATTCACTGAAGAGACGCTGAAGATACGCTCACTGAAGACAACCAAGCAGCCGCCATCAGATATGAAGAACTCGTAGACGATTGGACAACATTCGCCACGATCGAAGCATCCAAGAGAGGGAGCTTGTGAGGAGACGCTGCGTATACAGCCCAAAACGTGGATGATCTCAGCGGCGATCGCCAACGTCCGGCCTGCTCAGCCAGCAAACTTGCCTACGCCCAGTTTTTGCACCGTTGCGAGAGAACTGGGCCCTTTCGATGTCCAAAGTGCGCTGGGAGTTTCGACGACGAACTGCTTCAAGATCGTCAACTACTGCAAGAGGACGCTGAAGAAAAGTGCTTCCTGAAGGGTGCAACCAACGTGTCTGTACAGGTTCCTCAGTTTCTTCAATCATCGACGACAAAACACAGAGTTCCTCATCTTCACATCAAAATTGAAATCTTCTAAAGAGATTGAAGGCAGCCTGCATGGCTTTGCTGCCCGCTTACACGGCACAGTCACCAGAGCATCGCACATCTGTACAGGAAGCGAAAGCAAGCCGCCGGTGCCTGAGACCCGCCTCCAGCACAGCTTGCCGGGCTTGCCAAAGAAGATATCAGACACTACATTGCCAGCATGCAGCAAGGGACGCATTTCCCCTCAGTGACACCCTCATTGCACAAGTTTCCATGATCCAGAGTGAGTTGACAGATCAGCAGAGAGAAAGACTGATCAGCGGGACACCGCACTTGACAACTACTCATACGAGATCCTGAGGAGAAGACGGCTTTATGAAGGATTCTGTCAAGCAACGATGAAGAGACACCCTGAGTCATCGAAGAAAATGGTCCCTTGCGGAAGAGCGTATCCGGCGGGAAGGCCAGGATGGCCAACGAAAACTACGACCCCCGCGACCAGGCAAATTGGGGAAAAGGCAGAGGCGAGAAAGGACAGGAATGAAAACCCAAATTCCAATATCCTGTTGATGGAAACAAAGGTTATGACAATGGCAAAGGAAGAGGCGGACATGACACAGGAAAGTCCAAAACGTTCGCAGCCATAGCAAAGAAACATCCTGCCACCCAGCAAGCTGATGAACTCCCAGAGCCTACATATCCATAGGTCACAAAGCCCCTGCCCCTTACACCCTCCCCGTTTCATCTAAGAGGTCTTTGCAGGGCTGCGCACTAATAGCTCACTAATAGCTTACTAATTAATAGCTTACTAATTAGTAGCTTACTGATTAGTAGCTTACTAATAGCTGCTAGTAGCTCCCCGGCTTTAGCGCATAAATAGCTGCTATTAGGTAGCAAGTAGAAGCCGCATTTTTCTCCAGGATTGTGCGGGGTTGTCACGCTGCCTCAAACGCTCGAACTCTTAACAGGTGCAGGTTTTCAGCAATGTACAAGTCCGTCTGAGTGGCTCAATCAGCTGTTCAAACTGGGCGGCAAACATGTTAAGCCGAAGGTTGGAGAAGATGTATCAAGCCGTCCGAGCACATGTAGGGCTTTTGGCACGCACCGTCAAGCAGTTCCAGGACACGCGCTAGTCGATCTTGCTGGAGTAGCAAGAATGCAGGGGGCCTCCGCAACCATGTCAACGATGATGACAGCAGCATTAAGTTCCCCTCCTGGGAACCATCCAAGAGTGAGACTGTTGGCAGACCTTGTTCTCAATGGTCATCTGCGACAGCCGATCAAAAATTCAAAAGATCTGCGCTGGTACAGGACCCTTTCCAACATTGAAGAAAACCCTGTCCTGCTATGAAGAATGATAGGAACCCTTCAAACCGACCTCTCGGTGCGGAAACACACAGACAAGAATCATGTTGACCAGTTGCGCAAGAACGTGACAGATGATGCCTGAGCACCTTTAGTCTTGTACTCATTCAAGCAAGATTCCCTGAAGGCTTCAACAACATCCGCACTTATCGGCAAGAAGCGGAAGGAAGCCACAGCTACTAAGACAAAAGCTTACAAGAAGCATTTTCTTGAAGCTAAGGTTGTGGAGCGCAAATCTTGGCTTGGTAATGAAGCGTTCGACGTAGTCGACAGATACACGTAAGATCAATGTCAGGACCTGGGTCACCGGTCGCCAGGTCTTTGCCCTTAGTCGAGACATAAACGGAAACTTCCTGAAGCAAGGCTCGCTGGGCCCTCCAAGGATTTCAAGACAAGCAAGAGGACGAACGGCAGACAGACAGTCCTGCTGCGTCCAGGAGTGGCTTCCGCCTTGCGATCCAAGCAGCAGCAAAAAAGGGCTGAAACATTTTTCACATGGGCTTGAAAACAGCATTCCTCTGAGCAGAGGCATAAGATCAGAACCCTGACGCAACTTGCCCTCCTGAAATGGGATATCTGCCACACACTGGCGCACGTGCAAAGAAGCCTGCCTACGGGCTCAATGATGCACCCCGCAGATGACGGAACATCCTAGGTTCAGCTCTCCGATCTTACGGGCTAGCGCCAACCCGAGCAGAACGATGTTACATGTGTTTACAACGGTGAACACTTTCCAAAACCGACACCGATCAGTGAAAAGCATCCAACACATTCGATTTGGAAGGAGCAGTTGATTACCTCGTGGGTCCCATGTTAGGCTGTACGCAGTCTGCGTCTGAGGTGTGAGCCTGAGGTGTGAGCGGGCTGTCATCTTTCAAATTCTTGTCAAGGTGATCTCCTGAAGTTCATCGATGGCAACATTGCGATGGACATTGATGCACTAACCGCGCTTGTCGTCATGCTTCCATTGGCTGCAATGTCCTACGAAAAGGCAATCATTCTTGTTTTCGGAACCGACTTGAAAATCGTTCAGAAGTTGTCCCTTGATGTCCTTCTCAGACACATCGTCACCGGTCATAAGCAGAGATCATCTACACGAAGAGAAAGTGCTCCGTGAACTTGTCGGTTCTGGGCATTGTTGAAGCGTCCTAGGTCAGACCAACTGGGAACACCGTCCCACATTGATTGATTACCAGTTCTCCAGGCGCGCATCCAGAGCAGCACGGACGTTCACGCTATCAATAGAACAGGCAGGACCATCAAAACCATCCCGCTTAGCATGAGATTCTGGCCCCTCCGTGGCCCAGACGCACCTATCGCAACAATGAAGACAATTTATCCCAACGAACGCGTGTTATCTTTCTTGCAGAAGAACGAGATGTTCGCAAAGGCTCAGCGAACTTGAGAGGCTCACTGACAGATTATGAGACGCATAAGATCACTGCTACCACGATGC